AAGGAATTAAAAATAACATAAAGTAATAATTATATGGTAAGGTAATAATAATGCATGCAAATAGTAACAAACATTTTGTCCATTTCTTGGGAGTAAGTTCAATGAACAAACAAAATTCAAAACTAAAAGACTTCATCAAGCAACGACCAAACATATATATGGTAAGGTATTAATAAGAACTACGCGTACACGTTTTGAATTGAAGATATCTTTTGGATCAATTTAAAATTTTGAATTGGTTAAATGACCCGAACAATATAAATAAAGTTCACAATCCAATCTAACCCAACTCTCTATTTTCGTGTAGAGTTGTCAGGTTATTTTTTATTATTATTATTTACCGAGAATACATATTACATTTATAACTAAAATCTTACTAAATATCTGACGTGTACAAGTCAAACACATCACTAACATTAGTTTTAAGGTTAAATATTCTTAATCTTTGTAAGAATATTAAAAGTAAGGTAGTGTTGGGTAAAGTTATAACCCTATTTTTGGGTTGGTTTAGTTGACTCAACCAAAAAAATGTCAACATACGGGACGAACTTGAATCTTTGGTTGTTGTGTAAATTCAGCCTAACCCAACTTAAATTTTTTTTTTTTACCCAACTCAACTTTTATAGTATGGGTGGGATAGTTCGAGTTGGTCAAATTGGAGAGAGAAACGAGTGTTAGTGAGAACACTAGACCCAAAAAGGGGTGGATTGTAAAATCTCACATCGATTGGAGAGAGGAACAAGTGTCACCGAAGACCTTTTATAAGAGTGTGGAAACCTTTCTCTAGCAGAAGCGTTTTAAAACCGTGAGGCTGATGGCTATACGTGACGATTCAAAATAGACAATATCTACTAGGAGTGTGACAGATACCCACCTTTGTTCAAAATTTGAAGAAACTTTTCTTTTTTCTTTTGTCTTTTATAATACTAGTCAAACAAAAAAAACAACTGAAAGTTCATTATTTTTAGCCATGAAAGAAGGCGTTCTCTTGAAGCTAAAGGTTCCTTAGATGGCAAGGTAATAGAGAGAGCCAACATTTTCATTTCCCTTATCACAAATTAAACATGATTAAATCTTCAATTAAAAAGAAAATAGCATGTATAAATACACCTCTTATTCTCATTAGTGTTCTTCATAATACAAGATTAGATCAATATGAATCAGTCATTTGTTGTGTTCTTCACTTTTCTTCTTCTCTCTGCAGCAGCCAATCCTTTAGATCCAGAGATGAAAGCCGGAAGCGATTTGACTCGAGCCACGTGCGACCGAACCGGTGAGCTGAAAGATTTATGCATTTCTGTGATCGACTCTAACCCTCGCGAAGATTTGAAGTCAAATTTGATAGGTTTTCTCGCTATATTTATCAACGAAACTCTTCGTGTTGTCATCGATGATTATTCTTACCTTTTGAATCAAACTCTAAACGGGCAATTGGATAATCGAACGCTACAAGTATTTACAAGCTGCGTTTCGCAATATCAGATGAGCAAAGATTCATTACGAGTTTTATTGGAGGAATTATTAAAGCAACATAATGCAGATTTGAATATGGATTTGGGACAAATTGATAACTATTTAGCTCTTTGTGAGATGGAATTTGAAGGATTCACAGAAGAACCCTCAGCTTGGAAGGCTCGATATGATTATGTGAGCTCCCTCTTAATTCTTTCGTTGCGGATGACAAATCTCATTAAATGTAATCGTATCCATGTTTGTTAGGTACACCCACTTTTAATTTCAAGTATTTTTCGTGTTGGGCTTTTTTTTTTTTTTTTTTAATAATTATCTTTCCAACTCGTAATACTAATGTAATGAGTTTTTGAGGGAAAAGATCGTGAGTGTATCAGGAATACTATCTCTATTAGTACGAGATTTTAGTTTAAAAAACTAAAAGTAAAACATGAAAACGTATACTCATAGTATACTCATAGTACACAAAATGAAGATTCATTATTCCTATTAGTGGTATTAGAGCTCTAGAGAAGAGGAGCCATCTCGATAGTGTTGGATGGATAAATACATGTTTACGGGTAGGTTCAATGGTGTACTTTGTTCGAGGACTCCAGAGAAGAGGAGTTGTCTACGTAGTGCTAGACGGATAGATGACTGTTTAAGGGGATGCTAAGTGGTATACCGAGAGCTCTAGAGAAGAGGAATCATCTTAAATAGTGCTAGATGGATAAATGGTCGTTTAAGAAGAAAAATCAGGAGAGCTTATGTTCAAAGTGAATAATATGATCTTAAACTCGAAATGACAACATTGTCGCGTAATTTTATTTTGAAATTATTTCTTAATAAAACCTACAAACCAATTCCAAACGGTAGGTTGGTTTCTGACAATCATGTAGTTCCATTAATAACATTCTCCACAGTAAAATTTGCAACGAAAAAGAAGACCACGACACTCCAATAATGGGAGTGTCGAAATTCCTATAGGCCATACAAAAGAAAGTTGATCCAAAAGAAGTATTTGATAAAGGGTTATGTTTGTTGATGTCATAATCAATTCCCGGTCGAGTAAGAGCACTCTAGTAGATTAGGGATATGCTCTGTCATGACCCAATATTTTACTACGAGTTGTGACTCAAATCAATAATATTGTGAAGTGTGTATGCATAAAAACTCAAAAGAAGACATCAATTCAAAAATCAAGAAGGTTTTCAATACAAAGAATCAATTTGTGACCAATTTTTTACCGTGAAAACATAAAAGACAATGTGTACGAAAAGGAAAACTAGATTGACGCCCCGAGACATGCTTTCCTCTATGACGACCCACATCTCTCAACACGCTCTCTCTTGGCCTGACGTCTCACACACCTGAAAAAAGGAAGATACAACAAGGATGAGTATAACATTTAAACACCTACTTGTAGGATCTCATCGGATTCTAGACTTAACAAATAAACACGAGCTTCTCATTAGCTCTAGGAAGTCTAGTTCTAATCTTAACCCCTTGGAGCTATTCTGGTTCTCTGTTCTTTCATTTTCCCCAAGAGTTCCTTATGTCGAGCTGTAAACGACCGGTGTCTCTCTGCGAGACGCTACCTTTGCATGACTATCTGTGACTATATGGTACCTCACCTAGGGGTGTACTGAGTACCTCCTAGGCCCATGATAGTCCCCCTCATTGGGGGGTGCAACCCCACCCTTACCCCATGCCGCTAATGGGCTATACAACGTGGGAACACGTTTTCCATGCGAAATAGCTAGAATAGTGAGAACTAATCAAGAACCCCTTGTCCCCCACGAAGCTATAGATACCGTTCACACAACTAACAACCTAAGAATACTCCTAAAATACTTCGTTTAACTATCAGCCCAAGAATACTCCTAAAGTACTTGGTCTGCTATGTTGATTTGTTAGACTCTAGGTCTAAACCAAGTGACTTGTCACCCTAACCACAAATCCCTAATCTTAATATAATTTTGGATCATGAAAAAACTGACTGTGCATCAACTATTATTTAGCATCATCATACATAATTCATGCAAAATAAACATACATGCTTAACAGGGCGATAACATCCATCAAGCTTCCGGAACATTGAGTTCATAAATCCCCATCATCCTTTCAACATAGATTAAACATATACATATAGAGTGGAAGCTTAAAAGCATAATTGCAAGAGACAACAATTCACATAATGCTTCACATATTACATCCAAACTCATAATAATCAATTCACCTAGATTCATTCATGGAAAGCTACCAGACAAGGTAAATATGCTAGCATGCATGTATTCAAAGTAAATCCTACAAGTATTTGGTTGACGAATGCCCTTTTGTTTAGCGTTTCTATACGAATATGTGTCCAAAAATACTGATTTTCTTCAATTAGGTCCTACATCACATAAAAGTATGATTATAATTGAAATCGGGATGAAAAATCAGACAAACAGAGTCAAATGGATCAAAATGGGTCAGCCACACACCCTCACGCACCGGGAAGGATCCTAGTCGAAGGTGATACGCAGGGGCCGAAAATCTACAGTCACTGGTCAGGGGTCCGGTTTGGGTAGGCGGTTCGGTTTGCTTAGGTAGACCACGAGTCGGTTTGGGCTGCAGGTTTCGGGTCGGTCAGGGATGTGGGTTTGCAGACGACACGGGTCGCCGTTTTGCTGGAGCTGCAACCAACTCCAGATGCGTGTCCTCTGCCTTGCCAAGCCACGCTTCGCCACTCGTCGGTTGACACATTGCTCGTCGAAAAATTCTCTCTCTCCTAGCAAACAGCAAACGCAGAATTCGACATTTTTGTATATTTGGATCTAGAACTCAAATCAACATGATTCCTTTTGCAAAGTCGTAGATCGTATTGCCATCTACGCCTTAGTATTTTTTTTCATGAATTTTTACTTCATTACGAGATATTAGCATCGGAAGATCTCTTACCGTTCTTGGACGATTCTCGGATCTCCACTTTTGGATCGAGGTTTTGGCCAAAATTCCTCACAAATCCTATGGAGAGTTACTCCTAAATGAACGTATCGAGGTTTCAAAACATGATCACACGATAAAGATTCAAATTTGAAAAGGTTTGTTAAAAAATCTTACCTAGCCGAAAACTCTCGGATTTTGACGGAACCTATATAATATAAATTTTATTATTGATGTAGACCTATTAAATATAAAATAAAAAATTTAAAAATATATTTAATATTTTTAAATAATAGAATTAAAAAAACGACAAACGAGAAGATTGGATCACAAATGACAAGAGTTCACATATTTTAAACTCAACCAAAAAAGAAAGCTAGTGGCACTAGAATCTAAGTGGTAAGTACTAAACTACCCTTGGGTGAGCGAATTCAACCCTCCACATTATTATACCCGCGGGTGAGCCAAACAAACCCCAACACATTGAGTCAGATTTTTATATTTATTTTTTATTTTTATAAGAGACTATTTTTTACTTTCCTTTTTCATTAAAAAAAGAAATTAAAAAATCAATAACAACAAGCGTATTACGGACAACGACTGCGAATATTATCGAAAGTCTTTGTTGTCTCTCAGCTCTGACGGTTCTGTTCTGTCCCCAACGGAGTTTCTAAATTTTTCCGTTACAATTTGTATGTATACAACCCAACTTCCTTTCTTCATTTCTCATCCAAATTCATCTTCCTCTCACTACCTTTCTCGTTTGGAATCTCCGGCGGCCTTTCTGAATCGGATGGGGATGATGGTGGCCGGAAGAGAATGAGGGATACGCACTTCCGATCATGTCGATCTCTTCTTCCTCCAATTGCTTCATTGACTCTCACCTACTCTGTGATGAGGACTCCTCCGGTATTTTGTCTGGAGAGTCGCTGGAGTACTTGACGGATTTTGAATCGGCGGATAGTAGTGAGGATTCTATCGCTAGTTTCATAGAGGACGAGAAGCACTTCGTTCCTGGAATTGATTACTTGTCGCGCTTTCAGTCTCAATCGCTGGACTCTTCCGCTAGAGCTGACTCTGTTGCATGGATTCTCAAGGTATTGGATCCGATTCCTTTTCTCCTCTCTTCGCTGTAGTGACGTCTCGATGATCGGATTTTTCAATTCCATTCGTTTTTACATTTATGCCTCTACGATGGACCGGCGATGTCAATCTATTGATGAAAATCGTCGGCGGTAACTCGTGGTGTAAATCTAGGTATGAGGAGAGTCTTGATTTCATCTGTTGCGTCTGTATCTCTCTCTGTCTAAGAAGCCAACGCTTTACCGTAATCGAGCGATTCCGATTCTATGGAGGCTTCTGATTCTCTTCAATCCGCAGTGTTCTGCCTTCGTTTCCGAATTTATTTGCAATTTCGCATAATTAACCCTCTCTTTTATGAAATACTGTATTTAATTTCTGAAACAAGTGATGAATGAATGTATGAATATGTATTGTGGATTATAAGTGGAGACGACGAGTACTGATCGATCGTGCTGGATTTGTTCTTCAGGTTCACTCGTATTACGGTTTTCAACCACTCACCGCATACCTCTCCGTGAACTACTTGGATCGTTTCCTTTATTCTCGCCCCTTGCCGGTAAAAGTTCCTTTTTCTTTTTGAGAAAATGATAGCGTCAAATATCTTCATTATTATGTTCTGCTGTAAAGTTAGTTTGATGTTACTGTGATTGATCATCTCTTTGATCATAATATGTAATTATATCTGAACTGTTCTGAATTTGATCGTTACCGCTTCGACTATTAGTAATTTTCTGTATTGACTTTTGTGAATCTGTTCTTCGTTAATTGTATCCCAAAATTTAGCATCTACAGGTTTAACGTTCTGATTAAGGCCTGCTCTTTATCATCCATTGTCGAACTGTTTGTTGATTGAAAAAAGAAAGAAGAACTTTATTCGTTGATGCTGTTTAGTCATTGGCGGGCGTTTCATTGATATCGATCTCTGGTTCAATCGTGGAATGTTGTTTTCAGGAAACAAATGGGTGGAAGATGCAGCTCCTTTCAGTGGCTTGTTTGTCACTTGCAGCAAAAATGGAGGAACCCCTTGTTCCTTCTTTCCTGTATCTCCAGGTACATTATATTCAATTCACTTGTGGATTTCAAGCTTTTAGAGTAATGCGATTGAAGAGATTTAATGGAATCATCATAGATTGGAGGAGCAAAACATATATTTGAGCCTAGAACAATACGTAGGATGGAGCTTCTTGTGCTGACAACTTTGAATTGGCGGCTGCGATCTGTAACGCCCTTGAGCTTTATCGGATTCTTCGCCTACAAAGTTGATCCCAGCGGAACATTTTCCAGTTTTCTCAACTCACGCTCCACAGAAATTATTCTGTCCAATCTTCGAGGTACTCAAATGAACTCATCTCATTAAGACATGAATACACTTATTTATTATTTATTTGGTAGCAATGTGTTGGGAGGGAGTCACATTCACTTAGCTCTCATGGATTTATAAGGAATACATCGATATAAGCCCTTTGGGGTAGCCCAAATGCAAAACCACGAGAACTTATATTTAAAGTGGATAATATCATACTATTGTGGAAAGTCATTATTCCTAACATGATATCAGAGTCATGCCCGTCAATAGAATCCACAAATGTCGAACGAAGAAGTTGTGAGCCTCAAAGATGTAGTCAAAGTGACTCAAGTGTCCGAACAAATGGTGTACTTTGTTCAAAAACTCTAGAGAAGGAGTCGAACCTCAATTAAAGAGAGGTTGTTCGAAAACTCCATAGGTCTCAGGGGAAGCTCTATATTTTACTTTGTTCAAGGAGAGGTTGTTGGGAGGGAGTCCCACATGGGCTAATTTAGGGATTATCGTGGGTTTACAAAGAATGAATCTAAATATGATATCTGTGTGAGAGTAGTTACACAATGGACATCTAGCGCATTCAATTTGAGCACCCCATATGACAATTTAGTTTAATAATGGTTGATTATTGATGATTACAGACGCTAGCTTTCTCGAGTACTGGCCCTCCTGCATTGCTGCCGCAGCCTTACTATGTGCGGCAAATGAAATTCCAAATTTGACCCTCTTGAATCCTGAACACGCCGAGTCCTGGTGCAACGGACTGAACAAAGTGAGTGGCATACATCCATCACCAAATATAAAACAATGACATTGAAAGGGTGGTTTAGTAATAATGTTTATGTTTCTGATCTGTTTTGGTAGGAAAAAATTGGTGGGTGTTATCGGCTAATGCAGCAGCCGTTAGCATCGAAAGTGATAGTGCCACTCCGAGTCCGAATCCGAGCTGGGTTGAGGTACATTGACTCATCATCCTCATCCTCCCCATCATCAACATTACCTTTTAAAAGAAGAAAATTGAATAATTGCGTGTACCCAGAAGATGACAAAGAAAATTCCGAACTTAGAGAAGATCAGTAAATTTAAAAAGAAAGAAAGAAATATCTATATATATAATTAGAGGAGCAAGGATTAAGGAGAAAACTGGAAAGGGACCAAGATTGATGATACGTCGTCGTATACATTTTGGGTAATTTCCAAAATAAGAAATAAAAATTTGTTGGTGGGGGAGAGAGTGAGGCTTGCACAAGGGAAGGAGGAAGTTTTGTTGCTGTAGAACATATTATAATTCTGGTGTGAAACAAACAAAGGAAGGTTACATAATTTTATTTTTATTTATAATGTTTTTGTTTAGTATATGAATGAATGTAAAAAAGTAATAAAAAGAAAAATAAAAAGGAGCTAGTAAACTTAGAAGTGGTGGGGGGTTGAGCATTTGTTAGTGATCTAGAAGACAATGGAGTGTGGGCCCAATTTTGAAATGATTTTGGTGCTTTGTTTGTGATAAAAGGGAAGAAAGAAAGTGTTCTTTTTGGTTTAAAATTAATTACGGTTGGCACGTGTGTGGTTTAGTCAAAGTAGTTGTAATTTTGGCGGGAATTGCATTACTTTGTTTCTAGTGTTGGCCTTTCCTTATCAATGTCAATGTCATGTATATTTATTTATAGGGAGACATTAAGCTTGTTAATTCGTACAGTTGGTGCTCACACGTGTTGAAACGTGTTATTTTATTTACTTTAGTTTAAACTTATAGGAGGGTTCTTGCGGGGTCTTTGGTATTTATCACTCAATTGATTGATCGATGCTCTTTGAGAGTCCAACCAACCTAGATTATCTAACTTAATAAACTATCAAAGTTAGGTTATGTTAGATAGAATTTTTTAAGATTGTTATGAATATTAAGAATCTTTGGCTTTTGAAACATATGTTAGTGATGTGTTTTGACTTGTAAATGTTTGATATTTAAGCTAAGGAGAGGATTAAAAAAATAAAATCCAACCTAATTTCAAAACAAGCTAATTCGTCCCTTCTCATATTTTATTTATTTATTTTCCAACTTAAGGTAATTCAATAGCTATGTTCATATTATAAAGGGTTAATTTGGGTTCAACAAAATAGTTATAAACTCAAAATCTCATTTCTATCTCTTATTCCCTTATTGGCTTAGAAAGAGAGATGGAAAAATGGCTTTGGAGATTTTCTTTAGCTTTGTCCTTTTCCTGGAGCAAAAATTGCAGGAGAATAAATACTTTTTGTCAATCTAACTTTATTGTTTCTTCTTTCTGCAACTTCACAAAAGGTTTTTTTTTTTTTTTTTTTTTTTACTTCATTAAATTTATTCAATATTTAAAAAACGGAATTTTTAGGTTGTAAACACGAAATTTGAATATAGGGAAGTTGACCCATGTATTTATATCTCAAATGCACCACATTCGTACATGAATTACTAAAACATCTAGATAGTGAAAATTTGGTAAAATGTGAATTCGACTCAAACTGATTTGTTTGTCTTTATAAAATTATGGAGGGTCCATCATTGGCCTGTGAAAACCTTTGCATGTCTTCGTTACTTTTAGGTACTTTTAGGGAGACCTACACCCCATAGAAACTGTCTACATGAGACTGTCCCTTGGCTCGTAGGTCCTAACACAAGATTAGAATTCTAGCTCTTCTAGAGTGGTATCTCACTGATGGACTGTAGATTGGAACCTTGTTCTTACATGACCTGATCAATGCAATTAAGCACTTGCCATCTATTTTCCTTGTTCAACTCTTTGACAACACGAAAAGAAAAAAAAAAATCATTGTTCAACTCTTTGACAACATGAAGAAATAAAAAAAACACCTTACTACGTGCTTTAGAAGAATGAGTCAGCGACTCTTAGGCTAACCATTCTTAGATAAGAACTCAAAGGAAGTAGTGGAAGGGCAGGGCCATGAAACCCTATCGATCTCGTAACTCTCACCCACGTGCAAGGGTCGAGCATTGGAATAGCCGTCAAATTCCTTATAAATTCAGGTAGAACTTGTTCACTAGCATTCAATTAGTTCAATGAAGAGGAAGAGGGAAGGGGATAGGCCTTCAACATGTGGGATATTGGTGTATTTTATATGCATATAGTAACAGAAATTGAATGTAGTCATGATTTAAGATAGAAGTTAAGATAGAAGATAAGGGCATCTTAGAGCCACCTCTAATAATCCTTCACCAAATGGAATCCATTCAATGGAGCATCATCCTCTTTACTCTCCCACATCATCACATAACTCCCATTTTTCAATTATTGCTATTCAAATTTTGAAAATGTTTTCATTCCCTTAATGATTTTATTATTATGTACTCGATTTGATTTGATTTAATCTTCTAAAGTATCGCTGAATTTATGAAATTAGTATTAGAGGTAAGGAATCAATCTGAACATAGCTCAACTAATGCACGTATTAATCAAGATATCAAAAATTCAAATCTTCCAATCGTACCTGACTAAGAACAAGTTAGAGAAAGGGAGGGTCGGATGGAGAAATAATTTTGATTTTTGAAGATTTGTAAGCAAACCACTTCTTTTCTACCTAGTTTGTTTACTCTTAGTTTGGAGTTCGACTAAAGTCCCCAATTAACTGGAAAAAGAGAAAAATATGAATACACAATAGAGGACAATATTTTTATTGGTACGAAACATTTAAGTGAAACTTAAAGTAAAACAATGAGGGCTTAAGTCAAAAGTGGATAATATCGTAATATTGTGGAGATATGTGAGTAGGTTTGTCGTTCGTCATAAGTGGTACCCAAGCCAAGACCTTACCTTAATTCTAGTAACTTGAATTCTTTAGTGTCAACAGAAGGTAGAAAGGAGAGACTCGATGATTCTTTGTTCATGAAGAGGATGGTAAGGACTGCAACCAAGGTACCCATATGTTAAAAAAAAATGGGAAGATATCATGGACATATATAAATGAAGATAATATTACATCAAATAATTGGCAGGAAGCTTTTTAGGTAAAATCAAGAGAAATAATGGAGGCTTATGCCCAAAATAGACAATATCATATATCATTGTTTAGATAATAGTCTAACGAGTCTATTTTTCTATTAAAAACAAGATCGTCACTACATGCATGATGCAACTAATGTGTGTGGAAAACATCTATTTAAAATATTTCATAAAAAGTACCATGGACTTAACATTCAAAATAACAAAAAGTATAATGAATTTAACATTCAAAACAACGTAGTCATAAATAGCAAAGCAGAAAGTAAATAAACAATGCCCTAAACTAACCTAAGGGCTACTAAACCTACTTAATGCAACTATTCGAACTCTTGTTTCTATGAACTTCATTGCAACGGTTGGAATTTAGTCATTAAGCCTTGTAATTAATTATCTAATTTTTAATAATAATTTTTATTACTTTATTTACAAATTTTCATTAAAATATGGTTAATATACAAGAGAATCGTGTTCAAGTATTTATCTAAAGGGTTTATAATACATAAATAAGGTTGGTGTCTTATTTTAATAACACTATTGCGGGCCACTATGTAATCATTACAAATGATTTGATCTAAATCATTCATGGGGAGACATGTGAATAAAGATATCATGTACAATGAGTTTATATAAGACTTTTATCAAACCGTTAATTCTTGTTCATGAGGGCTTGTCATACCAGATTCAATATGTCTACCAACTACCAAACTTAGAAAAACAAAAATATAGATGAAATTAGTTTTAAAAATATATACATCCGAAAATAAAATGATTATCAAACACAAACAATCACACCCGATCCAAGGCGTCCAGCTCAATCATTTCCCTTAGAGTATGCATGAAGATGACGACACCTGAATGAAAGGCAAAACAAAAAACAATAATAAATTACTTGCCACCATCTCTAAGCGATGGTTTTAATTGAATTGTAAAGCCGTTACCATACAACAAGAAAGTTCATTGGTTTACAGCGCCGGGAGAATTTTTCTGTAGATTGTTCATGTTTATAACTGGGCATGTTCTACTGTTATGCCCTTTTTCATGACATAGTTTGCAGCTGTATGTTTTTCTACGAGTTGTATGGTTAACTTTCGTGTCGATATTGGGACAATTCTGCCGATTGTGACCATTTTCTTCGCAGATCCGACAACGATACTGCCTCACTCTGCTGCTTTCATTAGTCATCCTATCTCCATTGATCAAATTCAGGCTCAACACATTGCCAGGATTCTGATGTTGGGGATAATGTGTACCTTTATTTGGATTTCTCATCTCGGACTTCGAACAGTTTCTCCTGCTGTGACCCTTCTTAACACCTGCGCTCATTGGTTTACTATTCAACCTAGACTTCTTACAGGTCCTTCTGTTATGGCCCTTCTCTCCACATACTCGACATCTGAACCGCCTATCGATTGAATCGTCCTTAAGTTCTGGACAATAGTGTCTTCGATGCCCCTCACGTCCACAGTTTTTACAGTAAAATTTTATTCCTGCATGTAACAAAGAAGCAGCCGAGTCAATGTTAGTTCCAGTATGATATACTTGAAAGAAGGTAACTGTCTTCAGTATAATGCTGATCACATACTCAGATTTGTAAGTTTAATCACACTCAGAGAAACTACTACTAGGTGTACAACTCTTTGTTCACCAATTCGAACACATTCAGTTAGGAAAAGATATAAATAAAAACTCCTTTAACATTCGCCAATTAACAGAGCTACAAAGAAGTCGAATGTCGAAGAGATGGCAAAATAGTTATGTTCCCTCGGGCTTTTTCAGCAGTCACCCATGCAATTCAGATGGTTGTACTCTGAAGTGCAGAGTATTAATTCGCCGTCAAGACATCTCAAGCATGCAAATTTTCAAAAGAAACAATAAAACCTGTCTTAGGAAAAGGTAATTTTGAAATCTATAAATGAAAAGGTACTTCAAGGACTCCCTCCGAGTGGCATGCAGTTAGTTCAAGTAAATTTGGTGCGGATGAATATGGCTAGTTCACCTTGACTAACAAAAATATCAGAAGAAACTGCCACTGTGCAGTAAAAGAAAATAGGCCAGAATTCCTTTTCCAACGAAATCAGAAATGGGACTACAAACTTCTCTATGATATACCTGGATAACTGATAAACTTCGGATACTGACATTTCCTAGATTTTTCTGCAGATTTCCATCATGAAAATTGAGGCAGTTGGGAATTTATTGGACAAAGAAGTACATATATGGAAGCACTTGCCCGTCAGGCCACACGAAGATGAAATTGGGGAACTCACAGATAGCTGATTCTAGAAAAGTCAGAAACAAAACCACCTCCTCGATCGTCGGAGCAATGCAAGGAATGTTGAGAATTGTTGGGAGAGGAGTCCTACGTTGGGTTTATAAGTAAGGAATACTATCACTATTGGTAGGGAAGATCATGGGTTTATAAGTAAGGAATACTATCTCTATTGGTACGAGGCTTTCTTCATTTGAAATTTTTAAGTGGTGGACCTAATGCTCCTTGTTTTTCTCTCGGGAGTTTGTATCTCGAGTTCATTTTCATATTTATAATGAAAAGTTGTTTCTGATCTGGTACCAAAAATTTAAGAAAAAAATTACATTTTTTTATTAATCCTAACTATGGAATTTTTTGTGAACCCCTCGACCTCTTTCAAGTTGAACCCTCATCACCATCGTTAACGAAAACTCGTCTTTGTAAGGTTTCCCCTTCAATGATTCCCCAGCAAAAACAAAATAACAATGCTACAACAGAGAGACGAGAACACGCTGTTCAATGATCTCCCTTCAACAGGAGTTCCAAAATAACACAGAACCACAAGACAGCACAATGAAAAGAACACAAGATAACGGCTATTTCGAGAGAGATGAAAATCTCTCCTACCAAGACATTCAACCACAAATCGACGATGACCCTCAAACTGACTCCTTCCCGACATAGCAACACTCACTTTCTCATACACACGAACAAGTTACATTATTCCACTAACTTCTTAACTCGAAATGGCAAATGGCAGTCATTGCTAGTAGGACGTGTAAAATTCTCTCCAACTTTTGATGAAAGTGACAATATTAAAGGAAAAAATCGCCGTTTCTACTTTCAAGTAAAATGTTGGCAGAAGTAAAATGCCAAGGTGAAACTAAATTGTTAATCAAGAAAGACTATGGCAAGTCGCAAAACCAAAACGCGAAAACCAAAACTGTGGTGAAATCTTTATTTTCCAATAGGAATCTAATAACTTGAAAGCATTTAACAGTAAAAATACTATAGCTTTCTTATTATAATAAAAAGCTGAACTACGCATTTAAAAACTTTAGCATAATAATTGACCTTTCATTGAAATGCTCCGCTTTTGACGATTTTTTGGATCACTGAAGAATGCTTTCAAAGCTTCAGAAGTACGTTTTCTTGCTTCAGCACTTCCTTTGGCTTTCTGTGTTATAGAGAGAAGATCATATATTTGAAGGAGCATACAGGTGTAAGGGGCTTGAAATTGTTCGATAACTACATGCATTTTGCAAAATGAAATAAAAGTTCTTTTAGCCTGTGAACTATTTCTGGTATTCAGGCATAATTCACATAAAATGATAAATAAAAAAAGAAAAAAGGAAACGAAAGTCTGTTATCCAGATACACATCACCTGGTAATATCATAATCATCTTGTACAACCAGAGTAAATAGAAATTCATATTTATTTCGACTACATTTATTTATTCTATTAAAATTAATTTTTATAATCAACCCTAATATATAAAAAATTATTTTATAATAATGTATTGAATAACCTAATTAACTATTCAATAGTAACAAGTTAATCCTAACTAATGGATGGATTAAAACATACCCAACAAATTTTCATTTATAAAAAGAAAAAACAATCAGTTTTCACTCAATTATTGAAAAAGTATGTTCATGTGCTTTAAATGAATTATAAAACATACGTATGATATAAAATTGATAAGATTTCAAAGAAACAAAACATGAAAGCTACATTTTATTGAAATTTGATAGTTTTGTAAAGTTATCATTCCAAACGGTAGAACCAAACACAGCAATCTACGATTCTCTTCAATCTTATTCTCACACAACCATTATTTCTAGTCATATAAGAAACTTTGAACCAAACGGACCTATATGGAGACTACAATATATATATATATATATATATATATTTATAATGATTGGCTCACCAATTCAGCTAAATTTAATCAGCTCCTATAAGTATGGAACCACTTACTGCATTACCTAAAGATTTCACATGTTCGAGGAACATGGGATAATAACGAAGATATTTGACATGTGACCATGGTTCCCTTCTTACTGCATCATGTATGTAATGGCACGAACTCCATTACATTTCAGGCTCATTGATTTCTCAAACAATTAAATTTTCACAAAACTCTGTAGCAATATAAAATTATCTAAATTCAGGGTTTTATAGATGGGGTCACAACAGATAACCATTGACGTTTTGGTTTCTCATAAAGTTAAATGTCATAAACCTTCAGTAACATAAAAGTGACTAAATAGATTAAAATAACTGGGAAGTTTACTACTGCACTTCAGCTCATTGCACTTTATTAATTAAACCTTACAAGTAGGTTAAAAAAGGTGAGCTGTTACAATATTCAAAAACAGAATGCTAGAAGACAAATTATCTCAAGAACATACCTTAATTGCTGCCACTCTCTGGGCATGAAGAGTGGGGTCACGATGGATAATCTTCATTCTCTTACTAAATAGACCTGTTTTGGCATTGAGACTCTGCAATCATTCAACTAAACAACAAAGATTAAATTTATGAATTGGTAAATAGAAACCAAATATATTTAGAGAGCAATATTTCACCTAAATCTCAAGTTTAGAATCACTTTGACTATTACCGTATTCCTCAACATCAATTGGAGAGTTGAGGGACTACATGCTTGCTCTATTTAGCTTGTTTAGGTTATCTTTCTGAGAATGCAGATGCATGAAATAGCTAACAGGTCACATTAAGAAAAGGTACAGAACAAACTTTTAATGATCGGCTGATCTTCAATCCAACTTCAGGAGGAGGTGATTGGTAAACACGCTTTGATTTCTTCTTTTCTTCCAGCTTTATTTCCAAGTTATCAACTTCATCGTCTTCCTTCATTCTTAATGGAGAACTAACATGATATAAACACATGAAAAATCTTAGATACCCAAAACGACTAAGATTTGTCGGAGGTAACTGATCACAAGAGAAAAGAAATGATTCTCTTTTGCTGAGATGATGACATGATCGAGAATGTATTCAATAAAAGTAGAGCCTTTGAAATTGTTTTAGGCTTAAAAATCAAATTGGACAAAAGCCTTTGATACTACAGTTGGTATTGAGAATTTCAGGATGGAGAAATTACTTATCATTTCGGTTGAAATTGAAAACTTGAAACCCCACCCTTGTGTTACACAGGCCGTGAAAATGTTGAAAAAAAAAAATCCAAGTGCCAAACAGTATTCAAGGTTTCATACAGACATTAAGTCATTAAAAAAATAGTTGGAAAATTGAAAAAACAAATTAGAATTTAGATTGTTGAGTGGAATTTATAACTGGAAACAAATTTCAAAAATATAAAGAAATTGGGGTCTGGATCATCTACAATGAACAGAAGAAAAAAGAATGATTAATAAAACACCAAGGGGCGACATAATTTATTGATATGGGGGGAAGGACAAAAGAAACTCCCATTCGGAGTTGACCGGTGTTTCATAGGGGACTTCGGCAAGGAGATGGTTCCCTATGAAGGGGAAAGGAGCCATTGATTCTGGAAGGTCCCTACCTGTTTACAAAGTGGTGTGCTTCTCTCTCTCTTTATTTTTTTATTACTATTTTTTTTTTATTGGGGGGGGGGGGGGGGGG